CGCCGGTGCCGATGTCACGCCGAGTAGCGGGACCGTGTGTGCCGACTGCAGCTTTGCCATGCGCTGGACAGCGCCTTTGAATTGACCCTGCGAGAACGATGTGAACGCTTTGACGATGACGGAGGTGCCATTGTACGACGACTGGAAGACGCGGCTCGTCTGGCTCGACGTGACGAGGATACGATCGAGAAGGTCCGAGTCGGGAAGCTGCGGCAGAGCCAAGTGCGCCTCGAGTTGTTGCACGACCTCGGCCGCAGTAGGACGCTGGCTCGGGTCGGCGCTCATGCAAGCCGTCGCGAGTTCGACAAGCCACGTGGGACAATCCGGGCCCATCGAGGGGCGGTAGCCATGGCGAGCAATCTGGTGGTGAAGCTCATACCCGCTGAATGTGTGACCGGCGTACGGCCGCACTTTGCGCGAGCTGATCTGCGTCAAGATGATGCCCAGCGCAAAGATGTCGGCGGCGACCGTGTAGCGGAGGCCAAGCATGACTTCTGGCGCAACCCAGGTCGGCGTCCCGATGCCATTGGTCATCGTCTTGTCGAGGTCTTGCTCTCGCGAGATACCCATGTCGCCGAGCTTGGCAATGATTGTGTACTCGTCGAGGAAGATGTTGGCGGGCTTGACATCGCGGTCGATGATACCTTTTCCATGAAGGTACACGAGACACTTGGCGACCTGTAGCGCGATGCGGACCAAACGCTCGACGTTGCGAGGCGTCGGGCGCTCTTCGCTGAGGCGCTGGAGATGCGCTTCGAGATTGCCGCCGTCCATGAGCTCCATAATGATGCACGGCTGGTCATCTTTGTCGTTGGAGATGCCAATGAGCTTGGGCATGAAGGGCGAGTTGAGGCGGTGCATAATGTTAACCTCCTTCTTGAACGCCTCCTGGTAGTTGCCCTTCTTGTGGAACGTCTTGACGGCCACTGTAGCGTTGCCGAGCTTGGAGATGCATACATGGCCAAACGCGCCTTTCCCAATCGGTTCGGCAGTCAGATCGAGCATCGACGCATCGTAGCGTGTGATCGAGTCGGGAATGTCCAAGGATGGTGTTGCGTCGAGTGCTGCCTCCGGCTCTGGGCTCTGCGGCGACGGCTCCGCCGACCGCTCGGTTGTCGACGCAGTGGTCTGCACGGATGTCGCCACGGACAGCGCACACATTTGCTGTACTGGGACTGACGCATTGGCAGAGCTGCTATCGTCGATGTAGACGAAAAGGTCGCCAGTTCGAATGTCGGAACGAAAGATTGGCTCGACTTGCTCCCAGTGCATGCCGTTTTGCGGCACCGGAATCGTGCAGCTGCCAATGAAGACGTCTTCCGCGTCTTTTTCAAAGACTTGGAGCTCGACCGTCGATTCGTGCGTGGCATTGACGCCTTTGGCCGTCCGTAGCTCGACGTTCCACCATACCTTTTCACTCTCGTAGTAGGACACCGCCGACTTGGTACTGCAGCCGGCGTGGCGAATCGTAACGTACACACGCGAGACCTCCCCGTTCTCATAGCGTTGGAGGTTCTGACAGAAGGGCACGCGAACAGTCACCATCTTGCGCTTGGCGAGGCGAAGCAAAATTGAAAAATGAGTTCAATGCTGGTGGCTCGGATCGCGAACTTGAGTGTACTACGTTGCGCGCTCTGGTTCACACTACAGTGTACGATGGTTGATAAAACCGTGCTGGATACAAAGCCTACTATACGTGCTCCTTGATATTGGCTGATATGGCTTGAAGTTGCTGAAGCGCCTGCACGATGGGCCGATTAAGAACCACTAAGAACTGGATGACGGTTTCATGACGTGGCAGCGTGCTAGCTCCTATTATCCGGATACGGCTGAAAACACGCCACCAGGTTGCCACGTGTTGTCATATCTGTGTGGACGCACGAGCTGGAAGCACAGTATTCCATGCACCAGCATGGGCGCTCGCGTGCGGACATTGGATAGCGAGCACGCTGCCATGCCATCGTCCACTTCTTAGTGGTTCTTAGTCGGCCCATCATACAGGCGCGCTTCAAGGTATTCAAAGAACATCAATTCATTCCAAGAAGGACGCGCGAGTGTGGTACGTTTTATTTCCCAAGATTTTATCAACTAGAGTACACTGTTGTGTGAACCAGACCGCGCAAAGTAGTACACAAGTCCAATTACAGTGTATATTAGAGTTACCAGCGGGAACGGAGCCGCGGGGAAAGAGAAAAGCTCGGCGTATCCCCGTATCCAACGTAGAGTTTATTCCTGGACTCACTGCAGCATTATCTACGGGCCTATGGCGCCATTTTGCCATGAACAATTGCTCTTTTTTGTAGATGTATCGATCCAAAAACTATGGGACGCACTACGCATTCGCACGCAAACAAGCCACCACCGTGGCGGCTGTCGGACGAGTAGATGCGTCTTGGGCCATGCACTCGAGCGCCAGCTGCTTGTACCACGGCGGGCACGACG